TCCTGCCCACGCAAGGGGGTGGGAAGCAGGTGATCTTTAAAGGTCCCTTCCAACCCAACCCAACCCATTCTGTGATTCTATGAACTCTTCTGTTTTTTATGACGTGCTTGTAGGTTGTTTCACGTGTGTCCATCAGGTGTATCCAATCTAATGACTGAGATCAGATGTCTGGACTTACTCATGTTCTATTCCAATCCTCAAAGTGGTTGGCTTTTTCAGAAATTCTTGTCTCTTAGACCTTGAAAAAATAGAACGTGCAGTGCCAGAATCATTTGTAGAGGTAGTGCTACTTGGTTTTCAGTTTTCTTCTTTGAAGGCTTTTTTTGAAGAAGTATCTGTCAAAGCAACAGTAAACATGCGAATAACAGATTCCCAAGATGACAACAAGCAAGTGAATGTTGGTTTAGTGACTTTTACACCAGAGGTAATCCATTTATGTAAGCAATTTACATTTTATAGCAGTCTCCTGTGCAATTTTATATAGTTACTGAGATGGTGAAAAGTATTTTATATTAAGGATCATCCATTATTTACATGACAATATCAGTGAATCGTGTTTTTGTAAGTGCTCATCTGCCTTTTGAAATATATACAGTATTGATTGAAGAATTGTTTTTGCTGCCCAGTAATGCTGGAAGAGGTAGTTAGCTCTAGCTGTCTGAACTGGAACAAGCTGACAGTCACCTGTGGCAACACAGACAACGTGGCTTGATGTACCCGTTAGTGAGCTGACAAAGAAACACAGTTTGTAAGCTTGACAAACTGGTTTTCTTCCCTCTCAGAAGGGAACTGGAAGAACTGCATAGTAATAAGTAATATTTATGATTACAGATGCAAGGAACGCTTAACAGCAGAAGAAGGTGGCTCTAGAAGAGGCATTACAGCTGTGTGGTTTGGTGGGATAAAACCATTATTTCATACCAAGTGTGGTTGTTTTCATTTAGGCACCTCAAATTTTTATTTGAATCCAAAGTGAATTTCTCTATTAGTTCAAAGTTTGAGCCTGTATAGAGCTTATATTCAAATATGGACTAAATTCTTGTCCTGTTAAAGGAAAATGAAACAGATGAAATAATTAAAGTGGTAGAATGGGGACAGTGTTTTGGAGCAGAACTGGAGATTTAAGAAAACTATTGAAAAAACATGAAATCAAGATGAAAACCACTCCAATTTTTATTTGAATGGTTTGTTGTTTGGGTTTTTTTTTTTGTGTGACGTTAAAACTAGACCCACATGCTGCTATGGGAATGCAAAGGATTTTGAAGGAGCCTGAGGATAAAGGTGAATGGATCTTGTTGAAACATCAAATTGTTCGTTATTAGGCTCACTACACCTGTTTCTGTTTCGATGTCTGGTAGTTCATGTTGTCTTGGCGTTATTTGCTGATAACTGGAGGTGTTTTTCTCCAGCTGTTTTTCTTTCGAGTGTGTGAGATCACACACCGCCGATCCCAAAGACGATCTCCGTATATCAGATATCAGAGATTGTTAGTGACTTCCTCCACTTCTGGCAAACAGCTCTGAAGAGAGCATTGCCCTCAGGTTCTTTTCCTTGGAACATCAGCTTGTATTGAGTATTGTCATTCGAATGCAGATGACAGATAGGGCAGGAAGGCTCTGCAGGGGGATGGGGACAGGCTGGACCCATGGGCCAAGGCCAACTGTATGAGGTTCAACACGGCTGAGTGCTGGGTCCTGCACTTGGGCCACAACAACCCCCTGCAACGCTACGGGCTTGGGGAAGGATGGCTGGAAAGTTGCCTGGTGGAAAAGAACCTGGAGGTGTTGGTCGACAGCCGGCTGAACATGAGCCAGCGGTGTGCCGGGGTGGCCGAGAGGGCCAAGAGCATCCTGGCTTGTATCAGCGATAGTGTGGCCAGCAGGACCAGGGAGGTGATCGTCCCCCCACACTCAGCACTGGTGAGGCTACACCTGGAACACCGTGTTCAGTTTTGGGCCCCTCACTACAAGAAAGACACTGAGGGGCTGGAGCGTGTCCAGAGACGGGCAACGGAGCTGGTGAAGGGTCTGGAGCACAAGTCTTGTGAGCAGCAGCTGAGGGAACTAGGGCTGTTCAGCCTGGAGAAGAGGAGGCTGAGGGCAGAGCTTATCGCTCTACAGCTGCCTGAAAGGAGGTTGTAGCAAGGTGGGGTCGGGCTCTTCTCCCAGTAACAAGCGATGGGACGAGCGGAAACGGCCTCAAGTTGCACCAGGGGAGGCTTAGGTTGGATATGAGGAAAAATTTCTCCCACAAAAACGTTGTCAAGCATTGGAACAGGCTGCCCAGGGAATGGGTGGAGGTATCTAAAAGACCTGTAGATGTGGTGCTGAGGGACATGGGTTAGTGGTGGGCTTGGCAGGGCTGGGGTAAAGGCTGGGGGCGGGGCATCT